GAGTCCTGTTGACATTGAATTGGCTCGATGTTCGAAGCGTGGACCGATGCCAAGATTCGCGATCTCGTTCGTAAATCGTCCAGAGAAAGTGACTAAGTATATGGGGAAAAGGGTGAGAATAACGTGAAAATGCGGAAAACAGGTTGAAAAGTTCTAACAACGTTGCTATCGTCACTTTCTCTTACTCTCTAAAACGCGCTGCTATTTTTTTACTTCCTTTTCTTTTCTTACTATCGGAAATCCATGAATCATAAAAGAAGTAATTTTTACGACAATCCATTCTCATGAAGGATCTCACCTAAATCTACGATAGGACGAATATTTTGACACCTTACTTGTGTCCAGAATATGATAATAAATCGAAAAATTAGTCGGAAATTGTTGAATTGTTCTAATCAAAAATCGAAGGAAGGATAGATAAGATTGACAAAGTGAGTGAGTGAGTGAGTGAGAAATAGATGGATGGATGGATGGATGGATGAATAGAGATTGAGGAAAGAAAGAGATAAATTATTAGAAAGGGAAATCTAAGCGTGGACATCGAGAAAACGATTTCATTAAGACGGATCCTCTCTCCCGGAGGATCGAGGATCGGAGGTGGCAGGTAAATGCCTTAGCTCCTCCGACGGCTGATAAATGGGACATAAACGTTTCTTCCCTGTCGAGCTGGTAGTTTCGTCCCGGTAAGCGTTCTGACGTATAATTCAAGGAAAGCATTCGTCTTGCCAGCCGTCGCGTCGTCCCTTCATTCCTCGATCCTCTCGCTAAAAGAGAAAAAGGAAKAGAAAGAGAAAGAGACCAGTGACTGTGAAAGTTTTTCATTACGAATGTAAGATAAATATCCTTATTTTCAACGACGTTTTAGGTTTCCTGGGGACTTGGAAGGACGAGCGAGCGAGCGAGCAAGCCTCTTATTGCGTCTTTGCAATTTACCTTTTCCTCGTAAATACGAGAACTCCAAACTCATCTGTAGGAAAGCTAGAGGAAAACAGGATAAATGAGTGTAAAAGGGAAAAAGAGAATCGCTAATAGTCATTTGAATTTGTTTTTTCTCTTTTGTTTCACTTTTACCGCGCGAATTCTTCTTAACGAACGTGTATATACGCACACTTTATGCAACACTTATTGCATCCATTAGATTATCTTTAGACAATATCAAAGAACCTAAATTTTTATTTCGAATTTCATAGGATGGTGATATCAAACGTTGTATTATTTTCCATTAGGTAACGTGCATTTTGCTAAGCTTAGGAGAGCTCGAAAATCGCTCGTTCAAACTATAAGGCAACTCTAGCGTTTCGCGGCTTTGCAACTACTAAGTTGAAGCGGAAAAGGTGAAAGGGTGGTAGGAGGAGGAACTCTATCGGGAAAGAGATAGAAACAGGGCTAAATAGGAGGGTGGGGAGAACGAAGACAAGATAACGCAGCACGGTTTAAACCGTATTACCTAAGCCGATCGCTGAGCGGAATACGCGGTGGCCACCTGCAGCCTGAAACGTTCCTACGTGTATGTACATGCTGCATTAAGTTGCATCGCATGCAAGCTGCATATAAAATCGACTAACAAGAGCCTCGGGTTAACACTTGAAAGTGTCGCATAGCGAGTACGATTAAGAGAGAAAGCCTGCGACCCAAGACCTCCTACCCCTAACTTCAACGCCCCTTCTTCTACCCCTTACCCAAGCTCCAACACCTTTCCAATCCACCCTCCGTCGACGTTTCTCTCGAGATCTTGAGTTAAACGTGACTCACCTTACTTCACTTACACCACCAACACTACCAACGTCATCATCACCACCAGCGCTTATTTATACGCCTCGAAATTTCTCCTTCTACTTGCTAAGCTTCCGTCTACCACGATTATTCTCGTTATCTAAACGCTAATTTTCCAACGACAAGCTCCTTTATAGAATTTACACGCTCGGTGAAAACTATGATGATAGGCGTAAATCTTACCCTTCCAACAAAACTCGCCTTGATTTCATTCAAAATTATCAAATTATTTAATTATCTTATCTATTTCATTACTTTTTTTTATCTTTTGAATAATAATACTATTAAAATATTATTTTTCATTTTGGTAAGATGTGCACTATTATTTATAACTCGTTACATTAGATTTGATATTCCTCCATTCATCAACTACTCTTTACGAAATTCAAATCCTAGAAAATCATCCAAGTAGAAATCCATAAATCCTTGCATACTCGAGGACACTCCCATGGAAATTCTTAGACGTTTCCACGTAGTAAGAAGAAGGAGAGATTGTAGAGTACCGCGACAAAACCGCCGAATGCAACAACGTTGACAGAGAGAGAGAGAGAGAGAGGAACGAGGAATGAAAGAAGGGAAGGTTGAAGGCCAAAAAGGATAGGAATGAGAGGGTTGGAAGAGGAGTTTCGGTCGGCTGCAATAACGTAACATATCGCGCTAATCCAATTTGCGAGGGCACTACCATTCTGGCCGACAATTTTAGAGAGAGAGAGAGAGAGAGAGAGAGAGAGAGAACAGGGGGAGACGAGTAAAGCGAAATTGGGGTAAACTGAGGGTTGAAATGTCGCTTATGTATGACCAGGGATGATAAATAATCGTGAAATTTTGCGGTACTTTTTGAATAGTTCATGTCACCGGATAACGTTGCGGCGAATTCAGGATGGATCACGTCAATATTTGATATTCGATGGGCGATTATGATAATTTATGAAAAGTATTGTCGCACGGCGTTTCCGACGGAAATTGTTTACCCTATAACTACCCTTCCTCCGGCTCCCCCAATAGCAGGCTTGGGAATAGTTCAAACGTGATATTGTTAATTCCTCTCTTGTTTCTTTCCCAATAAGATAAACGTGATGCACGTGATTACATATTTCTATCAATATATTAAAATATATATATATGACTTTTGTCAATTCCAAATAATCTTCCAACCGAGTAAGGCTCGCTTTCCGAAAGTATGAAGTAAAACGACTGGTTGAGAGTATAAGAAGAAAGAAGAAAGGCTTTGGACTTTTGCGACAATTCGTTCTAGCTCAATTGCTTGAAATTCTACAAAAGCCTGTTTGGGATTCGTTCCGGGAATTATTCAAATAAGGAAACTGTTGAAATGCGGTCAAACAACTGTTAGCATATAAGAGAAGGTGAAGAACGTTCCTTGTCAGAAACAGTTACAAAGATATCCAAGGAACTTAAACCGAAACGTTTATTTGTTAACGCCAACTATTTTCTCTTCTAAATTGTCGAGTTTATAGAGCTCTTAAGTCTAAGTCATACCGTCAGTTCCTTTAACGTATACGTAAATGCATTTAAAACGATATAACTTCGGTTGAAACAAAAGACATTTTTAATTATTTTGAAAAATACTTCAAATGATTCGTCGTGCAATGATAAATTAAAATGTTTTACTTCAGAAAATGTTCACGAAAAAAAAATAATAAATTAGTTTTTAGCGTTTTTGTTAGATTGATTTTGTATATTCAAGAGAGAAGAAATTTGCAATGATTCCTAAATAATATGTTAATTTACGATTGTGATACAAGAAAGCTCATAAATCATAATTTTAGGTAGGACGTGTCGTTATGCGAATGAATTTGGATCTATCTAACAAATATTCTCTGTCCCTTTCAATACCGTGATATTTTATCGTGCGAACGCAATACACGAGCAGCATAATTTATCTGTTTTCAAATATGCCCGCATCAATAAATTTGCATATTTTAATATAAATTCCTAAATGTCTGGCTTGCTTGAGTAGAAAGAAAAAGTAATAGAAGAAGAAGAAGAAGAAGAAGCAGAGGAAGAAGAAGAAAATGAAGAAAGTGAAGGAAAGTTGCATTAGTAAAAGGCATTAACAAAGACGTCTTTATCGATCATCGTTCTTCATAATCCTTTCGCATTTGCTTTGTTTTTCGTCGCCATTAAAACTAGAAGAACTTTTGGTAATCTAGATATTTAGAATTACTTAATATTTAATTCTATCTAGAATATATAACAAATTTATCGAATTAAATCTTATCCGTCAGACGTTGGGTTTTTTAGATTAAATATTCAGCTAAATGAAAAATATTAATTTAATAAATTTAATTAGAAATAATATTCGCAAATCTTATAGATATTATGTGCACACAATTTTATAAATTTAATTTTAATTTTGTTAAATTATTTAAATAGTTTCATAGATAAACGAATAAACATGCAAAATTATTTAGAGATCCGATCTCATATTAACACCTACGACGCAGCTTACCCTTTATATTAAAATTTATTCAACGCTTGATATATAACTCTCTTTATATAGTTAAATGTTATCAGCATCTCAGTTTACACTGAACTTTATACGATAAGAGAAGCTTATGGTTCTATATATATATACACTATGGTCGAAAACTTCTCAATATGCTTTTACTAAGACACGTATAAGTCCATTATCGTACGAATTTCGAATACTACAAGCTCCTAAAAGTATGAAATATTTGTCTATGCAATTTTATACATACGTGATTATAAAGCTTTTAATATATTAATTAATTTTTTTCTACATAAAATCTCGTCAAATTAATAAAATTATAATAAATCATTGAATGAATAAAATCGTTTTTAAAATATTAATTCTCCTTGAAACATTAATTATATAATGAAAGTTATAACAGTAATTTTGGATAATGCTATTATTCTCATGGTTGAAATGAAATAATGATTAACGAACCTTCATTATAAACATATCAAATATTCTCTTGAAATATTAGCTTGTTTTATTTTCGATGGAGGTCTCTACCGATCAGGAAACTAATATTACATTGGGATATTCCATCGGTGACAACAGATATCGCAACGATGCTACTTAACGCAAATATCAAACAATAACCATACGGCCAGAATTTTGAGAGTAAATCAAACATAGATGCGCAATCTGGTAACGAAATGTACACACGGTAGTAACGGAGAAAAACAAACCCACGTTAGTAAGCGAATGAAATAATAAGAAAAAAAAATCCAATAAATTGTTATTGTTAATATATATTTCATTAATACATATAATTAATATTATTTTGACGAATCAATTGAAACAAATTATATGTGATAATCGTTTAAGACATTAATACCATTTTTCTCCTCTGATTTGTATAACCATTTCTGCAATCTATAATCGAATAAAACGATAAAAGTGAAGTAACTGTTACAATAAATAATAAAACAATTAAAAAATAATGATCACAAACCTGAACCTCGGGTCGTGTTCCAAGTGCATAAATTAGAGCATCGGCAATGTCCTCAGGTAAAAGTGTTGGATTTGAATATACTGCTTTTACAACACCTGCATTATTTGAGGCAATTTCGGTCTTTACGATACCTGGACAGATACTCTATGAAAATAAAAATTATGAAATATATAATTAGCTACATAGATGAATAAATTAAATTAGAAAAAAAAAACTACAGCTAATCCAACTGACTGTTATTCGAATGGGTGCTTCGACAGCACGTAATTCATGTCTCACTGTCTCCGTAATTGCAACCGATGCATGTTTAGTTGCAGGATACAAATTCCACCCGTTAGAACCTTCTTCATCGCAAGGATGTCCAGCCGGTATCGCGTGTCCCACCATACTGCAATGCATATTTTGACCTACAGTTAGCTATGAAATTTAGAAAAAAACAAAACAAAATGAAGTATTGTATTCTAAATGTAAATTTATTTCCGTTGTATCTTTAAAAGAAAAATATTGTTCGAAGTAATATTTGAAAATAAAAATCTGAATATAAGTTAGAAATGTTCATTTGGGTTGAATTAGTAGCTCGTTGGTGAATAAACGTAATAAGAATGAATAAAAAAAAAAAGCATAATGCCTTAGAGTAAGATGTTCATTAACAATACCTGTTGATATTGAAAACATGCCCTTCGACGTTTTTCTTTCGCATTGAACGTACAGCTCGGTTTATGCACACAGCCACTGCGAGTACATTAATATTTAACAGCTTTTCAAATGTCTTCCTGTCGCTTTCTGCAAGTGTAATTTATGGAATTTTTTAAAATGCGCCAACGATGGCTCCACCGAGCTTCCCGTACCAATTGCAATGGCACGGTGCATACATGTAAAAGTATAAGAGTTGGAACTCTTTTCCCAACGGTAACCCTTTCGGGAGAAGAACCCTATGCGCATATTTTTCTTTCTTCTCTTCACTTTCTTTTTTTTTATCAATTAAAATTTTAATCTCCATGTAAAAATATAAAGAAAAAAGTCGATAAATTTATATTAGGATAGTCTTTATTTTCCGTTTTACAATTTAAACTATGTGACTCTCGCGATCATCGTACAATTTGAACACTTTGTTTTAATATTACCAAATTTTCAAGATTATATCTTGCTTGAATAAATAAGAACCCTTGTATTTATAATTGTTTTTTTTTTCAGCCTAATGAGTAATAAACTTACCAATAATGCGACGATAATCTATAACACCGGCATTATTCACCATAATATCTACACCATGTAATTTTTCCTCGACAAATAAAAATGCATCGTCTACTTCGTCCTCGCGGGTAACATCGCAACGAAGAGGATAATATCCATTCCTCTTATTGTTTGTATTGTCAGCCGTTTTTGTGTCTTCCTCGTTTTGAATATCCAAACCAACCACGATTATCTTCCTTTCAAGCAGAGCACACGTAATTGCTTTGCCGATTCCGGATGCAGAACCAGTCACGACCGCGACTTTTCCTTCCCAACGATTCATAATTGTGTTCGTATGTTCGTACTGGTTTACCTGCAACAAACCAATTTTTCATTTCAATAGAATAATTATTACATTTGTACGAATATAGAGAATAAATTTATCGATTGCATAATTTGCTAACACATTGACATAAATTTCTAGTTTTGATTTCTTTTTTCGTTAATAATTTTACATTTGTTAATTATACGAATTTCAATAAAAACTACACACTTACGCGATTAAAATGAGAATACAACAAATGTGTGTGTGATCGAATATTTATAGGAAAAAAAATAAATGATAGTTACGATAAGATAATTGAAAGATTTTATATCTTCATTCGATACGCGTGCGTAGAAACTTGCTTGTCATCCAAGATTTATGAACTTCTCTTACGTTAGATACCTTACATTACAAAAGCCACGTATACATTTTTGGCGCTTATATGCGGTTACTATTGAGTACATGTCGTCCGAAAAACTTGGTCGTTTTTTCGATGATTTCCCGGTGGAACACGTAGGAATTATAGTTGCTGCATTTGCGATACGAAACAAAACGAAAAGATAAGAGAAGAGAGAAAAGAGAAATAACACGCACACGATGAAGCACGTCGCGTACTAACAGTAATTTCAAATGAACGCACTGCTGCGCTGGCCAATTCAAGAACAATGTTATTATGTAATAACGACCCGCTATCAAATCGTTCTGTTACATTTTTCAACTTTGATCTTGCAAAGAGATTTCAATATACATCAATAAAGTCAATTAATCAAGAAATCAAAAATAATTCTATAAATTATAATAGATATAACTTTGATTACATCATCCCTCTTATAAATAGTTTACTGTGTGACACATTTGTCGTAATTTCAACTGATAAAATTTAACAACTCACCCATACATATGAGTGACGAGAAGATATATCTCATCTATAACAAGCCAAACAAATATTCGTAAGTTTGTGCTGATTATAAAAATAATTGTACAATATAGATATTTATATCTCAAGCAATTCTGTATACGTATAAAAGCATACAAAAATATACGAATGAATGATTGAAATCAAATTAAAAATCAAGACCGGTTTTAGTACTCCAAACTTGTTCATTTATTCAAAATTCATGTTTACGTCTATAACAAAGTTAGACACAAATTAGAATGGAATAATTAGAAAAGAAAATAATACAAATAAAGAGTAGAATTAGAGAGATAAAAAGATAAATAAGGAAAATACAGAGAGGAAGTTGTTGAAACATGTAAGTAATACTAAATAACTGCACAATATAAGAGAATGAAAATATTCGAATAATAAATCCGTAGCAAACAAAAGCCAGAAGTATGTAATAAGAATAATAATGTAAAAGAGACAATGCAAAATATAGGAAAGGTAGAAAGAGAAGCACAATTGTAACGCATCAAGGAAAATCCACTCAGTTTACATTACTAAATGTATACCCTACGGAATTCACAAGAGTGCAGCGAAAGGGAAAGATACTGAAGGATGATTCGAGAAGAAGATTTACGTGGTATTCAAAATGAATGAAAGATTTATTCAAAGAGATAACAACACAACCAACAACTACCATCCCATAGAACAACGATAAAGAACAAAGATATATCTAGATTTTGAGAACGGATAATCGGTCAGAAAAGACGCACGTGAATCATTTTATTTTTACCCTCTTCCTCCTTACTTTTTTCTTTTTTCTTATTTTTTTTTTTTCGAAAACGTTTCGAAAGACGCGTAACTTTAGCTCAACTAAAGTCCTCGCAAAAGTTGAACGAAGAACTTTGGGCTTTAAGCTTATCCGTTTATCCACCACTTCCATTCTTCTGACCGCTCAGCTTTTTTCCTAGCTAGTAGAAAAGCGAGCGACGACGTGACCTGCCACAACCCCCTATTTCCACCCCATACCACCCCACCCCACCTAACTCACCCCCAAAACCCCCACACATTTCTTTTCTATCCTGTCCTTCTTCTTCAAAGCAACACACACCGCTTGATCCAAAGCAATCTCTTTCGGAAACGTTGTACGGAATATCGGAATATTTTGCAATCCCAACGGACGATTCTGTGAGATCCCTATCGTTTTTCAAAAGAAAGAATCTTATCGTCCGGCTAAAATATTCTACATCCTGAAAGAATAAGAATAATACTTGGCATACCTTTTCGAATCTTCTGCCTAGACACAATAATACAATAATAAATGGAGTCTTCAAGAAAATCTTACGAATTTAATGAATATATATATATATATATATATATATATATATATATATATATATAAATATATATACAATAAGTGTCTTTTTCAAAATCTTGTACAATTGTAGAATACTTCGTACCTGTTATTGGACCATGCACTATGATAATTACAACTCTAATGCACTTCAAACTATATAAGCATCTAACTGAACAATCATAGAGAAAAGAATGCACGTAGAACTATTGCGACGATATTTATTATCTGCTACTCCTACTCCTATCATCATTCGTAAATACTACTACGATTATGTAAATTATCTATTCAACGAGAACTGATATATTTTTATCATGTTTTTCTTATAAGTTTTGCGTAATTTAAGATTATTAACAAATGACACTTAACATTTCATCGTACCAACTGAGATACAAAAATATATTAAGAACGCATTTTATTATGTTAATTTCTTTAAATATAGTTTTAGTTTTTTTTTTTTTAGGTACTCTAATCATCTAAATCTTTATGGAAATTGCAATGAGATAGAAGATAATATTATATAATTTGATATTGTTGTCCTCGACATTTTCTTAATTTACATAAAGAATATTGCGTTGTCTCTGCAACGTTAGTTACGATACTTAAAAAATAGAAGGGAAAAAAAAATGAAGGGATAGACAGAAAGATAGAGTTACAATAGATAATCATTTTTCGTAACTTGACATAATCTGTACGTAGCAAAAAGTCGTAGAACAGGAGATAAACAGGATAAATGAGTTTCAAGGAAACTCTAATCTTTCTCACTGAACTTTTTATTTCTCACTAATATACTTCAAAGATATTATTTAAATTTTTCATAAGAGGAAAAAACGAGATAATATTGATTAAAACTATTTTTTTTTTCTTGCATCTATTTAAGTCGATAGATAAGCAAATAAGATTGTTTTGTTCTGGAAACGTTAGTTGTGTAATATATGAAAACTAAAAAAAATTTAACGTAATTACTGCTCGTCTAATCGCAAAAACGTCCTAGTATATCTACACAGAGTGCGGATTTTTAATATTAAATAACAATTATAAAGAAAAGATTATAAACAAACAAAAAGAAAAAGAAAAAGAAAAGAAATGATAAAATCTGAAATCGGATATTCGTTTGGTCCTAGAGGGAGTTTCGAATCTTTTTCTTTCTTAGTAGATAAACGATACAAGAAGACACTGAGACGTAATAATAAGTGCTCGCATCGATCTTCTTGAAGGCGGCAGCTGGTGTCCGGGTCCGGTACTGGGCCGAGGACATTATTCTCGTTCGCACGGTACGACGTGGAAATCAACAAGAAAAGCTAGCAGGAAAAGCTTTAACAGTTTCCCCCGGTTTGAACCGGCAACGGCACCAGATGCTATTCCTTTTACTCGCTACTATTTCTTAACGACCCTGTGATTACTTGCATCGGTTTGTTTCATTGTGTCAAGCCGATATCATCTTGCAGCACGTTTTCATTCCTTTTTATTATTATTATTATTATTTGTTTCGATCGTCAAAAACCTATTGTGTGTATCTTCTTTTACCTTGTTACTGATCGAAAATAATTTGTTATATTCTAGATGCTTTTTATTATTATTATTATTTTTTTTTGTTCAAGAAACCTGCTTGCTCGTTTTATTTGAACACATTTCTCACGTCAAATTTTTCTTTTATTTTATTTAATACCTTTCGATCGTAGTCAACAAACGACAGTTTCATTTTACCGCGATGCTTTCCTATAAAATATCTACCAGACGTTTAATGATTGCCTCGGGGTGTTCCCCAATACCAAAGGCTCGGGGGATGGATACCACAAATTAACCGCATTTTACGAGAAACTTTAAAAAGAAAAAAGACAAACACTTTATACGTTTTACTCTATGCTATAGAAATGTTTGTGAAAATGATATCTATCTCATCGAAGTGATACTAAAAGGGATCTTCTTCATCTTTATTCAATGTTTCGATTTAAATTAATGCGGTAATAAGAAAATAAAACAAAGATGTGTTTTAAATCGTAGAAGAAATTATTGTCAAAATGGTTGAATAAAGGATTGACAATCGTTTCTCTGAAAAGAAGCTTGTCCAAGGGATAGCCTGTCGACGATGACTATGATAACAAGATCTTCCTTATTCTCTTTTTTCCCTTACTTTATTTTCTTCTCTTCTTTTTCGATCTCTTACCATCTATCTCTCTCATGAGCTTTCGCAGGGTTGGCAGCGTCTCTACTTTCCATTCTTCCCTTGTTGTTCCATTCTCCGGAAGATCAGCGGCAAGCTTATTGCTTCATGAATATGTATAAGGAAGATCGTTCTCAGGGCCGGAACAAGTAGAGACGCTTGCCCCGAACCCCTTCGTTCGTTCATTCGTTGAACGTGCCAATGTTAGGTGGAAACGGAAAAGGAGGAAAGGGGAATGGAGGAATTGAGAAGGTATAGAAACGGCCACGAACGAGACACCTAGAAATTAGCGAGTCAACGAACAACTCGAATTATACGTCGGGGGGTAAACATTGAACATAGGAAAACAAGTAAATACGACAAGATTCTTCATAAAATTGCATCTGACTTTTTTCTTTTTTTTTTCTTTTTTTTTCAAGGTATATACTTCGGCAAATATTATCTCACACTTTTTGTTCTCTCCCTCTGTTTTTTATTTAATTTTATTTTAAATCTTTTTACAAGTTGAAAAGCAAAAAAAGATGGAGAATTTTTAGGTGTTAAGAAAAGACGATATTATTTTACAGACCATTTACTTCGCACGTGTACGCGATAGCCTTAGGGTGTAAAAGGTACCAACAACCCCTCTGTCTTTTACCTCAAATGTATCCCCTTCCCCTTTTCTCCTCCCTACTTCTCTACAAAATTCTCCTTCGTCTTCTCCACCTCTTCCTTACGCGATAGCAAAGGAACGTTTAACCTCAGGCGACGGAGGTATACTTAAGAGTCCACTGGATTTACGAGAATCATCCCTATAGTTCGCAAAATGCAACCGGCAGCTAGCTAGCTAGCTAGCTAAGTTTCTAGCGTGCACGTGATAACATACGAGCGTGATAACGCGTACAAACGGTGCTTGAGAAAATTGCTCGGCCCAAGCTGCTTTTATACGTCTCGTTTTTTCAAACCGAAACGTCTAAACGTAAATTTAAAATACGCACGAGTTTTGAACGCTCTACGTTATAGTAATATAAAACTCGAATCTTCTTATCGTATTACAATATATACCAATTTATTCCTTTTATTCTTTGTTAATGTTACAAAAATAAATTTGAAGAAGAACTATGTGTGTGTGTGTGTGTGTATGTGTTTGTATATGTATGTATAACCAAATATTTCAAATATTCGACTCGAAAAATAGCAAAGATTACACTTAGTTTTACTTTTTCTCTGTTGCGTCAAAGGGAGGAGGACAATTTTGTGAAAAATTT